ATCTTCTCAAAAGCCCCGCTGCTCACCAGCGTGCAGGCCAGCAGGGCTAAGTGCACAGCCAGCAGGATGGAGAACATGCGGCCGCCCTTTTTCCACACTTCCTTGGAGGCAGGAGTGGAGGGGCACTGATGAGGCTGGTGGCCGAAAGACGCTATCTGGCTGGAAGCCAGTCTGGCTTTGTCATCCTTATGTCCGCAGCCCATGCTGGAGTTGGAGTGTCTGATCTCGCTGTCCTTCCGCACGGGCTCTTCAGTCATGATTCAGCTAACGCCTTAGCTGAGGTTTAACGCTGTTGGGAGGAGAGCCCCATGAATGAGAGGCGTCACTTCATTTTGAATAGTCTAGGGCTGGACCAAAGCAGGACATGTGATGAGGAGGAAAGGACGTATCAGAGGAACGGGGAAGGCTGAGACAAGGAGTGCAAAAAGAGGGATGAGCTCATTTTCAACACTTCTCTTCCCGGTTCCCTGAAGGCTGTGTTCTTGCTCAAGATGCTTTCGCTTGGGGAGATACAAGGTCAGTTTAACAAATCATGCCTGATTTGTCACACGACGTTTAGGTGTTTATTGATGTAAGGTATTGGAAAAGCGCTTACAGGATCAAATATCCTGGGGCAAACGGCCAATGTGGTTTGATTTCTTAATGTCAACCACTAAACGTTCTGAGAAAATGTCATACTTCCTGGCTAGGGAACGGGCCACCGAAAGGTGAGAAAGCCCCGAGAGCCTTTCACGTCACAGTTTATACCAGTCCCTGCAAGAAGGATGTGAGCTATTTCCGCTGTCACTCCCTCTAAAGCCCCTTGCCTGTGCCCTTGTTCTCAATGAAAAGCCTCAAACAAAGCAAACCAAACAAACCATTCAAACAAAGCCGATCCACCAACCTGTTTTGCTGCCTGGAATCCAAATCTCTTCTCTTGCCAGGCTGTCTGAGAAGTTTCCCCTTCGCTGCAGCTTGATCAGCCAAAGAATTTGTATCCGTCGGGTTGTCTCTGTGATTTATACCATGTCTGGAGCTGACAGCAGGGCTTCGTGGGCTTCTCAGAGAAGCTCATGTGATCCATTTTGTGCAATAGCTTATTTTGGGGAAGCAGGAGAGAGATGAGGAGATAAGGGTTATTTACCTGGGGAGGGCATGAGATGACAACATTGCTAAGCATGGCACAGACCGCTCGGTCGCAGGGTCACGGTCTCCGTAGAGCAAAGCCACCCCATCAAACCCATCTCCGTACACGCATGAGATCTCTTCCCTTGAGAGAAGATGGTTTAGGTGTACCTTGCTGATGATTTTGGGTTTGGCTTTCTGCTTAACTGAGTACAACAAATATTATGCCTCACCCTGTACTATTCCCATGAGTATACTCTATGCCTGAAATATTTTTTGAGGAAAAGGAAGAAATTTTCATTTGTATCTATTCAGTGCCAAGGGCGGTGCAATCTTTTCCCACCCATGGTGGCAATGATGAAGAAGGTTTAGCACTAGCACAGGGCAGGATTTGGGGACTGGAATCCATGTTCCCCTTTGCTGACACACTGCCTTTGACTTTTCAGGGTGGGATCACCTTTCTCTGGCCCTCAAGAGCTTAACTTCTCTCCTTTCAAGGAGAAAGAAGTCATGTTACAAACCACGGTGCAGATGGGATTGGAGTGTTTGCGAGGTGAGGGGAGAGCTTTTGCTCAAGATCTCTTTTACCCTAGCTGTTATATTTTGGGGGTGGTCGTGGTGGGGGGAGACAGGGGGGCCCAGGGCAATTCTGAGTGGATGGGGACAAGTTGCTTTTCTTCATGAGGACGCCTCTTTTGGACATGTCCCTGCCACTTGCCTCCTCTGGGGCAAGCACAGAGATGGGGCTGTTTGCGGTGCGTTTTCTCAGTCCCATTCCTGCCCGCTCACCACCATGCTCCTTCTTGCAGCACTGCAGGGACAGCATCAAACTGAACCATGTGGGAAAGCGAAGGACAGAGCTCAGAGTCCACTGTACGGCCCAGGGAGACCTTCATGTGTCTTTCCCGTGCTGCCACCAGCCGGCTGCCACAGGCAGAACTGCATCTGCTCTCCCTGGCCTCTGCTGATCCTTAGGGGTTCCTCTTTGAGGTGAGTGGTTGATCTTTTTTCTCAGTCTGTAGCCTTTCCCAGGGGAAGCCCAGACTCCCCTGCGGTGAATCTGAGCTGATAATGGTGATGTTTTGCAGAGGCCAGAGGTTCAGAGTCCCCTTGGGCTACGTGCGCTGATTTATCTTTTCTCTTTTGTCCTTAACAGCCAGCAACAGAGGAAAAGGCGTTTGCTGCCTTGAGCAATGCTCCCAATGCCCCCTGGGAGCCACTGTACAGCATAACAAGCTTAATTAGTAATAATCAAGAATCATTAAATAACCTTGCTAATGAATTGCAGACGTCACTATGCTGCTTTTCACCATGAAGGATCCCAGTGCCAAATACCTCGATGTTTAGTCCATCCCGTCAGGACTCGCCCAGGGAGGTGTGAGTACGAATCTGCTGATGTGAGCAAACTCTGTGAGGAGCGGATTCTTTCTCTGGTGTGCTTACAGGTGTCCCCAGGCAGCCGGGATGGTGACTCCGGGTCGGTCACGCGGGGGTTAATCACTGCAGCTTGTGTGGGTGCACCTGGGACTGCTTTAGGGCCACCCTGCTGTCTTGGAGCATTTTTTTTACTTACAAAAATAAGCTGTGTTTCTCTGTCTTTCCTCCTCTCTGCTCATTACCTTCCAACCCTCTCTGCTGCTGTCAGTCAGTCTTTCCTCATTTTTCTGCTCTTTCCCCCTTTTTCACCCGTCTGCTGGGTCTACCTTCCCTCTCTCCAGACCCTGGGCTGTGGTGGCAAACACAGGATTCCAACCCTGGAGATCTCCATCCCCAGAGCCAGGATGCAAAGGCAGGACGATAGGCAAAATGCATAAGAGAGGAGCAGGAAATTCCTCCTCCGTGACAGCATGTCCCAGGGGATACAATTCACCTTTGGGTGCAACGTGCTGCCACAGCCATGTGCTTTGGTCAACGTTCAGGCTCGTCTCTGTCTCTCCCAACAGCAGAGGGTGCCCGGGGCCCAGGAATCCTGCACTGGAAACATGTCCTGGGGCCACACCGCTCCCCACAGGGCTCACAGCAGCCAGAAGTTCTGTGCCAGTGTAAAACGCTGGAGGCCAGATAGTGCCCCTCGTGCACGTCTGGCAGAAATACTGAGCCACAGGCAGGAGCGGGTTTACTTTCGGCATTTTTTGGTCTCCAAAGAGGGAGACAAGGTGGGGAAGGGAATTTTTCTAGCCTGTACGAGTTATTTTGGGTTATCACAGATTCCTGTTGCACAGTTTGTTGTGTGATTCCATAGAAAGCGGAGTCCTGTGGGCACAGGCAGGGTAGTGGGGGGACAGGGATGATGATTTGGTCTGCTGTTATCTTCCTAGTGATGCTAGGGAGATAGATGGATGGATGGATGTGTGTATACACATACACACACACATACATATATATATATATATATTGTCTTTTTTTTACCAGGAAAACCTACGCTGTGAATGCCCTTGGTGTTGCTTTGAAATCAGGCAGTCACCAAACTGCTCTTGGCTGTCTCTGCACGGAGCAGGAGCATCCCGCTGTGTCCCTGCTGCTGCCCTGCTCTGATGGCGCTGGGAGTGGAGGCAGCGGGGGCTTGTGCTCCGTCAGCCCACGCTTCCACCTGCGACCCTCATTCAAGATAGTAGCTATGGTGAGGGGCATGTGGAGGTATTGAGCAGGATACGGCCAAGGAGCCTTTCTGGCTGCTTGCTCTGCTTAGGGGACACGCAGACCTGGCGAGCTGTTGCTGCATGACCCTGTGCCCACAGCACTTGGCTGAGTCCGACGCAGCGATGCTGCTTAATTGGAGCTTTTAATGTGCCATGGAGCTGGTGTGTGGAAGGTTTGTTGCGAAGAGCCGTCAGGGCTGGAGGCTGCTTAGGACCCAGGGGAAGCGCTGAAGAGCGTGGCTGGCTGGGCTTGGAGGAGCTCCTGCCTCCCCGGCCAGGACTTCTCAGGTGTCCTGGTACGGCGGTGCAGTGAGGCGAGCTGGCAACTCCCCCTTCCCTATGTCTATGCCCATCCTCTGAGCCCCCCTGCGCACCCATGCTCTCACCTGGGGACCACTCTGCACCATGAACGACCAGTACCACCGAGCAGCCCGGGACGGCTATCTGGACCTCCTGAAGGAAGCCACCAAGAAGGACCTGAACTCGCCAGACGAGGATGGCATGACCCCGACCCTATGGGCTGCCTACCACGGCAACCTGGACGCCCTGCGCCTCATTGTCAGCAGAGGGTGAGCGTTGGCGAATGCACGGTGCTGGTCTTGGGGCACAGAGTAGCTGGGACCCTGTCTTTGCCCTTTGCCTGCTTGCGGGTCAGCAGGGGTGCAGGTGCCCCACAAAAAGATGGCTTCAGTCCATAACAATCCCTTCCTGTCCTCCTCTGTTATTTTTCTCTCCTGTGGTGCTTTGAGTCTAATCCAACACTTTAATAACCGCTCTGTGTTTTCCCAGCTCCTCGAACCCCTCCTGCCCCAAACCTCACTTGCAGCTCCCCGAGTGGAGCTGGATCCCCCCTGGAAGTGCTTTGCAGTCCTGGGTCAGGTCCTGCAAAGACAGGCAGAGCTGAAGTGCAAGCACATCGGTCTCTGCCATGAAAAAAAGCCCTTTGAAATGGGGGGGCAGAGGGGATAACTGCTCCTTCTGTCCCAAGAAATGCTCACAGAGAGGGATGTGTGCAGTGCCAGCTGGAAGTAGGTAACACTTGTCTGTTTTACCCAAAACAGGGTCTGAATACGTGACCCTCGAGCAGACTGATGTGCACCCGGAGCACAGGAAATTCAGGAGCAAGTTCCCCAAGAGCAGATTTCTTTAAGCTCAGTCTCCCCCACGGGTGCTGCTCGATGCTGATGTGTCTCTCAGTACCTCACCCAGGGCTGGCTGCCAACTCAGAGGGTCTCGGGCTCCGGAAGCGTGGATGCAGTGGAGAGAAGGGAGTGGGACTGAGGTGACTTGTCAGACTAGAGGGCTTTACATCTTGGTGTTGGGTGGACTGTACAAGAAGGTCTGTGCTAAGACAAGATCTGCTACACCTAGTTCCTTCCTGAGCAGTATGTGGCTCCTGTTCTTACCAGCCTCCCAAGGGGGCACGTCCCAGCCCTTCCTTCCCACTCCGGTTGCTCTTCTGAGCACCTCATCAAAAGGCATCCAAGGTGGGGTGGCCTCTGCCTTGTGCTGAGAGATTGGTGGTGCCGCTGATTTTGATTTATTTATTTCTAATATTGAGGAACAGCACTGGGGTCAGCAGTCTGGATGTACATCGTGCCTCCTTGGATGGGCTTTGCTACTCCACCTTGGGTTGGGGCTTGGTGAGGCTGTCAGCTCCCAAGCAGAGATTTTCTGCCTCCACCCTGGGCTGCGTTTGCAGCTCTCACACCTGATCAACTGTGTCTCTGCTGTGCCTGTTCCTGAACTCTCAGTATTTTCTGATACTTTGGTCTGCTTGTACAAAACCTTCTGCCAGCTCCCCCAGCCCTGGCCAGCTGTGTTTACAGAGGGACCTCCCCTAATACTTTGCTGCCCTTCTGTTGTAAAGCATTTTCTCTTCAGATCCTGGGGTCAGAAAGGCTGAGTGTGACTTACTGTGTACCTCCCAGGAGAGAATGTGCCCAGCAGAAACCTGCTCTGAGCTCTTGTCAGGAGGTGAATCACCACCTGGGGCCAGAGAGATGAGGGCAAGAGATCTGGGGATGAGACCCTGAAGTTAGAAATGGTTTCAAAGACCCTTTTATGGCCAAAAAAGCCCAAGGGTGGCTTTTCCATGGAAGCGCCCCTTTTATAAATTCACATTGGATTAAAAGGTCCTTGTGGGCTCAATCATGTCTGAGTGCAGCTTGGCTGCTGTTTAATTAACAGCCTAATATACATTTGTTCCTGACGGGGAAAATAGCCTGACAAAAGCTCAGTGCCCTTTACGTGATGGATGGTGGAGTAAAGTGTGTGTCTGTGGGGCTGCAGGATGCGTTTACATCCGTGCATTCATCTCCGTGTGTCAGATCCTCGCCCAGGACCACGCAGAGATCAACGAAGCCGTCTCGCTCCGCTGCTCAGGCTTTGGGTCTGCGAGAGGCAGGAAAGCCCCAGCCTGGGGACAGGAGTGCCAGAGAGGGGAAATCATGCAGGACCCAGGAGAGCCCATGGGCAAACTCTGTAATCTTCTGCTAGTGCTTAGGACGATGTGCATTGGTATTTAAGTCTTGTTCAGAGATGAAACTTAATCCTGTGTTGGGTATGTTACTATTACACCTGCACAACAACAGTTGGGAGGCAAGAGGAGGATTCCTGAGGGTCCCAAAATGTCGGGGCACTTCTCTTTGGTCTCTGCTGTCAAAATATTCCTCCTTCGGCATGGAGAACCCTACACTGCGAGGTGGGGGTGTGTGGGACCACAGCATGGAGCAGTGTCTGGGGGAACGGAGGCTTCGGAGCTGGGATGGGATGGGATGGGATGGGATGGGATGGGATGGGAGGCAGCTTGAGCGTCTGAGGGGGCTGATTAGCTTCCAACTGGGTTGCAAGGGGATCCCAAAACATGGGGGTCTTGGGGCAGCAGGAAACACTGAATCCTCCTTGCTAGTGCCAGGTGGTGCTACTGGCACCCAGACAAGCCAGAAGATTGAGCACTGGGGACAGGCTGTTATGAAATGTTCTAGCGAGGCCAGCTGGAGGCACCCTGAGAAAGCAGGGCTGTGGGAGTGGGGCTGCTGGGGGCAAAAATCACAGCTCTGATCGTTGTGCCCCACGGCAGGGCGGGGG